TCAATAATCATCGGTTCTCATGCGTGCAAAAAACAATCCATACACTAAATTCTCATCATTTAACGCTTTAATACCTTCACAAGCGCAAAATTGCAAAAATTGTCTGCAACACCTGGGATTCCCAGGCCGTCTCCGATCCAAGTACTAACCAGGCCCAACGTTGCTTAACTTGACAGATCGGACGGGATGTCGTGCTTTCAACGTGGTGTGGTCGTAGACATCAACAAATACGATGGCATACATTAAATGTTACATTTGTTGTCCCACAAAATTGCAGGACGTTCCAAAATTTTACTTCAAGCCACAGCAGCCGAAACTCTGGGCCGAAACATTCAATTACCTCAAACTTGGGTAATTAAACCGTCGAAACTACCTTCATCATTTTCATATCATTTGTCGTGAAAAAAGAGAGTTAGAAGATGAGGAATACTGTTCTTGTTAGTTATAAAAGCAGTTAATTTTTCGAATGAATGACTTATTGAATACCGGTTTTGTTATTTGTTTGAGGAGTATAGCAGTTATCCTCCATTGTTGTTCGGATGCGAAATGCAATAAAAATAGGCTCGAATTAATTCCGATTATAGTAGAAAGAAGTTCCGAACAATACAGTAGAACAACGATAGAAATATGGATGTAGTAATTTATGAACGGAGAGAAGAAATGACGATCGTGTTGAGTAGAGCTGAGTGGCGACTTATTGAAATTAACATTGGATCCATGTTAGAATTTCTTATGGTTTATATATAGGATGTGTGGAGAGGAACAATCATTGCGAATTGACAGTATTCTCACAGCTGCAAGAGAAATTTACATATAAGAACAGTTTTCATAAAAAATTGCGTAGAAATTATTTTATTAGATGTACTGCTTTCTCACCATTGTATACAAGATTTTGCATGGAATAAAGCCTTTGCAAATTAATTACCAGATGCGCACAAATCTTAACATCTGAAAAAGCACTTTTAGGAGATATGAAGATTTGTTGGCTGACTCATGACTTTAAACATGAGAGAAATAAGGGAATAAATGTAAATGCGAACTATTTGAATGAGTAATTCTATGATACAGCTATTTCGGCTTTTCCGACACTTCCGACTGAGAGAAAATTTTAGGTTTAAGGGATGTAATTAAAATATTTGATTTGGTTGTTTAATAAATGCATTTTATTTTTGCTGGTTTTTTATTGAGGCAGCTAATTCAATTTCAGTCGGTTTTGTCGCTCGATTTGAACGGTTAATAGAAGGCAGATGAAATATGAAACAGAATATGCTAATTTCATCTTAATAATAATTATTACCAAACTAATTACGAAAACACAAATGCCAAAAGTGATGAGCCGCCAATGCATCACAAAGTTGTCAGTTCTTCTTGTATTAGTTCGGTCATTTTATTAACTTCATGTCCAATTTGTTCTGATAGTTCAGTGCTTTCTTGGTTGATCTCTCCCTAGATATTCCATTCTGGCCGTTTGGCTTGATAATTGGTGTAGGTCCGTTGTTGTGATAAAATTTCCAGCTCAGCATTTATTCTTTCAATTTCGAAGTGGTCGATGATGCCATTGGTAAATTTTATTGACTTTGATTCGGGGTTGTTTGATTTGCAAAGTGCAATTTGGAAACTTCCACTGATATGTTTCGCGATTATGTCATCCCTTTGTAGTATTAGGTTAGCAGCTACAGTAGGATTATAGTGCGATGTCCATTCAATAAGTGTAAGTTATTACGATTACAGTAGCTATTTTGATAGATTTCATTAAACCTTTGCTGAAATTGTTCTTGAAGAGTATTATAGAGATGTTGAAGTTTGGTATTTTCCGGATCAGTTCCCTTTTCTTCAGGATTTGATTTTCTATCCTTTATAATTGTATCTTGATTGTATCTTGGTAAAGGTTTATTACATTTATTTTATTGATTATAATATTATTGTCCATTGTATTGGGATTGATAAAATCGTAGTTTTTTGAATCGTTTTATACTTAAATGTAAATGCCATTTGAAATTCATCAACAATGATGTGAACGTCATAGACTCGTGCCTGGTAATTTCCAATCTTTTGATATAAGCATTTACTCACAGCTTCTGTTTCATTCCATAAAACAATACTTGTATTAATTGTACATTTTCCGCTTTGTGTGAGGCAATGTTGGACAGTATCGAGATCAAATGTATTGAATTCATCTAATTCAAATAGGAGCGCAAATGGTAGGATTGAATTCATCTAATTCAAATAGGAGCGCAAATGGTAGGATTGAATTCATCTAATTCAAATAGGAGCGCAAATGGTAGAATTGATGTGCATGTTTGCGAGTCATTTTATAACAGTTTGTTTGGACGTGGAACATGACGTAGCATTAAATAAAGTTAACCAATGAGAGAATGAGACATGTGGGACGTTGAACGCTAGCGCGTGTGTCATGCGTTGCGGCGCAATCGACCATTTGTGAAGGGGGATGACGAAGTGAATGGGTGTATATTGGTGGTGAAGGTTTTGGGCTTTTATACGTCATGTCCCATTTCTTGTATCAAATATCTTTTTTTTTTCCGTAGAAATATCCTTTGGGAATTCTCGGGAAAGAATCATACCTGATATTGCACCTTTTTGAGATTTTTTCAGAATTGAAACTGCTACATTCTGAAATGCTAATCTTAAATGATCATTTAATCTAGTCTCATATCGATTTTAAATATAAGTTATAAGTGTAATCTCGAAAAATTTGTCAAATGTGTTGCATGGTATTTTCGGGATAATTCCACGGGCAAATTCGTGGTAAGATAGAAGAAAGAGGAAGAATGGAAGAGAAAGAAGAAAGTATGAAATTTAAATTGTAGACATACTTCCAGAATTCGTCGAGTTAGTGTATATAATTTGATCAAACCTTTTGATATATTGATAACAATGTTATTGTAGAATTTCACGGGTTCCCCCGAGGTTTTCACAGATTCTCCCACTTGGGAAACAAATATAGTTCACGATAGACGGAATTGTTAGCATTTTCTTTAAAACGAGGTATATTACAGTGTAAGTTATACTTTTTTTGCTTATCATACATCAAACACGCATAAAATATACATCTTTGCTGTATATTTTTCATCATGAGACATAAATGTAGATAAAGACATAAATATTGCGTGAAAGATCACGTAAGTACTTGTTAAATAAGCATTCAGGATATGCGTATGAGTGGAGGAATCACGTATTAGACAAGTTCAGACAGGTTTTCCATGGAATATTTCTAGCTTTCTATAAATGATTGTAACTATTAATTGAAATCATTAGGCTCAATATTATCCAAAAAACTATGGATAATATGAAATATGAGTGGATGGAATGGTTAGGTTATTTCGATTTAGTGATATCATATCAGTGATAGCATTATTACCTTCATATCAATGACAGGTTCATTACCTTTTTATTTTATTTTTTGATTGTATGATATGTTAAATATTATTATTATTAATATCATTTACTGACAATGATTGCCATTTGTGTAAGTAAACAAGGTTTGGGTGCATGCGAGGAATTTATGTGAAAAAGGAGGATATTTCAATGTGAATCCGATCACTTCTCTATGTGAATACAGGATTATTATCATTAATATTATTTGATGCTTCTTTCCTGAAAATATTTTAGTATGTAAAGGTTAAACAGAGAGAAAGAGAGAGGGAGAGAGAGAGGATAAGAAAAATGGTTCCAACATGTTAATTTGATTTCATTGTCAAATCAATTTTATTTATAGAAGCGGATACGACGAAGAGAAGAGCATAGGGAAGAAAATCGTTGCACATTTTAACGCGATGTTTTAATGACCATGGAGTCTAAGAGCATAGATTATCATTGACCATATGTTGGATTCGATCATCAGCTAAGCAGATTTTTACACAAATTTGCTCTCACTGAAGTTTATCGACTGAAAGATTGCGGTTGAATATCCAATATATCGTCTAACATTTCTCTGAAAACTTTTCATTCACTCTATGACGGGATTGGTCCCTTTTCATTACCTTCCCCACTCTTGATTTGCTTTTTGTTCTGGTTATATTTCTAGTTGATTTGGGAACAACAAGCATCCCTATTTCATCTTTTTCGTTATTTTCACCTCTCAAATGTATGCGACATGCAAATTTGCTTGCATGCAAGTATATATGAAAAAGATTGCATGTGAGCATTTGAGAATTTTATTTCACTGTTATAGATTAATTTTTAAATTACATACATCGTTTGAGATTTTATTGGTGAAATAATTTCTTTGAGAACGGTTGATTTTGTAACATTTGTTTTATTTGATTTCTTTTAAATGACGAGGTTTTGTTTCTTATTATGAAATCGATCTGAGTTTATGGTTTGAGCAAAATTATGATGGTTAGAAAAGGTAAAAGTTATGCTTAGGCCAAGAGGAGAGCGATAGGAAGAGTGAGGAAAGAGAAAGAGAGGTGTAATTTGTTGATGTTATATCGATCGAAAAAACCGCCCCACCAACAGATAGCATCTTGTTAGCTTTCTATATGAGTTATACGATGATGCCACGCACGTCTTTGTTCATTTTTCTTCTTTCTTCGATTTTTTTCCTTTGTTTTTAACCAAACTTTTATACGTTTTCGTATATAAATATTGCAGGATTTGGGTATTTTTATATTTGATGAATTTTCAGGATGGCACTGCTAAGGTTATTTAATTCGGTTTTAATTTTAAATTCTTTCTTATTGTTGGTATTGCCAATAGCAAATGGCGATGGTGATGTGATGAAATTTACGGATGCTGATTTCAAAGAAGGAACCAAACAATATGATGTGTTACTTGTGAAATTTTATGCACCATGGTAAGAGAATAGTAATTATGTGGTCGCTTTGCTTTATTATGCCCTAAATGTCGTAAAATTTCTAGTGTAGTGTTTCCACTTGTTTGCAAAGTTTTACAGTCTCGTGTTTCTTCATTCGATTTCTTTTCCCTTGTAGATTGCATGATGAGGTTTTCCGTTTTATTAAACCGTTATTGTTGTATTCTACAGATGACAGGAAAATTGCATTTACTAACTTTTTTAGGTGTGGACACTGTAAAAAATTGGCCCCAGAATTTGAAAAAGGCGGCAACAAAACTTTTGCAAAATGATCCACCTATTCATTTAGCAGAGGTGATTTTTCCCCTTCTTTGACACAAGCAGACATCGTATTTCGTGAAAAGTTTTTAATCGAATGAGTCATGGAGTCGTAGAGGATTTTTTTTCGTGGATTGATTAATTTTCCGGAATTAAATGAGACTAGAGAGCTAAATAGTTAAGCAATTGTGGTGATTGCAAGTTGCAAATTTTCATTTTAACCTGTAGATGTCTTTTTTTTTTTAAGGTTGATTGTACGGAAGAAAAGAAAACTTGCGATGAATTCAGTGTTAGTGGTTTCCCGACTTTGAAAATTTTCCGTAAAGGTGAACTGGCTCAAGATTATGATGGTCCACGAGTTGCGGAAGGTATTGTGAAATATATGCGAGGACAGGCTGGTCCATCAGCTACAGAAATTAGCACATCACAAGAATTCGAGAAAATGTTGGAATCCGACGATGTCACTATCTGTGGTATGTCTTTTGTTTTATTTCGGAGTTAATCAGGATTTGAGGTGGAGGGTTTCAGAGTTAACTAAAAGTTTGTTAGTCCTAATCAGTTCCGTTGTACTGTCAAATAATTTGGCAGAATGGTCTTTCTTTTTCCATTTTTCTTTACATTCATTTTCTCTTACATGTGCAGCTTATTAGCATCAAGTTGTGAAGTGTCAGAATGCACTTACCAAACCTTTTAATGCTAATTTGCTCGTCTCGTTTTCTCTTTCTTTTTCTTTTTTTCTTTTATTGTGATCTCACTGTAATATATTTTCAGGATTTTTCGAGGGAGACAGCAAGTTGAAAGACTCCTTCCTAAAAGTTGCGGATACAGAAAGAGATCGTTTTAAATTTGTATGGACTTCAAATAAACAAATTCTAGAATCAAATGGATACAATGAGTTGGTTCTATCCTACCTTTATGACGCACGAAACATACGGTCTAATACTAATCTGTTCCAAATATCCCTTGATTTTAATTGTATGATAATGTTGTCTTTCAGTGATATTGTTGCATACCAACCAAAGAAGTTTCACAACAAATTTGAGCCAAGTGGATTCAAATACGATGGGAATTACGATACAGACAAGATCAAAGAATTCCTTCTACACGAAACGTACGGTATTTATTGTTTGTCTGCCCCTTCCTTTCGCCTTCTGATCATAGCTTAAAATGAAAGACAGTAGCCTGGGAAATGTGGGAGTATCAAGAGTTTGAGATTATCCTTCCGGAAATGAGTTGTTCATTAGATGCGAGAAAATGAAATTTGCTTCTTTAGGATTGTTTATTTTACTTCAGTATACTGGATGAAAATTTGAAATCCGCATGAAAACGCCACAGCACTTTAATTTTTCCGATTTTTTGGACAGTTTTAGTCTACACATAAGATTTATATAGGAATGGACTTGTTGGTATACGAACTTCCGAAAATCGGTACCAGTTTGATCTACTTCCAATGTTTGTTGTCTACAGCAAGGTTGATTATGAATTGGATCCAAAAGGTCTTGTTAGTTTTTTCTTTTTCTTTTCCAAATATGAAGCTTTCACGTTTTCCAGATATTGCGATATCTCTTATATGAATTTAGATTCATTGTGATAACCGCTGTTATTGCTTTTAGGGTCTAATTACTGGCGAAATCGTGTTCTTATGGTTGCGAAGGATTACAGAAGGAAAGCATATTTTGCTGTAAGCAACAAGGACGACTTCTCATTTGTAAATATTCTTTTTTATATTTTTGAATTTTAATCAACTGGTTTTCTTCTATATACGAAATTTTTGTCATGCCATCAGCTCTTTATATGTCTTTATCGGTTTTTCAAAGTGAAAGCAACATATTCCTCCGATTAAGAAACATCCTTCTCCTGGTTGTTCATTTTAGCATATATTGCGGAATTGGGTTCAGATTTTTGTGTTAAAAGAAGTTTGGATTGTTAAGTTGTGCAGTTCAGCCAAACGGTTGTGATCTAGTTTCAATTTCAATTTCGGAATGCTTTTAGGCGATTGCGTTATTGAAATATGTCTTGATTTCAGGACCTTGATGAATTTGGTTTAACTAATCGTAAAGATACTAAACCACTTGTTGCGGCACGTAGTACGAAAGGCAAATTCTTTATGAAAGAAGAGTTCAGGTAATTATATTAATTACTACAAATATGTGTTTATTTTCTACGCTTCCTTATGTTTTTATTGACGAGTCTACCAAAAACAAAGCTTAAATATGGTGTCGCTAAGCCTCTGTTAATGAAAGCTTCAAAAGTTGACATATGACCACATGTGAACATGTTGCCTGCGTGATGGTTTGCTAAGTCCCTGGCAAAGTGGTTTATAATTAGAGATACCAAATACATGGGGAGAGAGGGCGAAATACCAAATTTGTAGTGGATGTAGAAGAGATAAATATGTAACGATAACTGATTTTATTCATACATGATGATATAGACAATATTAAAAACATGAACAATTCCAGCGTGGAAAATTTAAGAAAATTTGTCGAAGACGTTATTAATGATAGATTAGAACCGCATTTGAAGAGCGAAGAACCACCTGAAGAACAGGGTGATGTTAAGGTCTGTTTCCATGATCTGGTGGAATTTTCAAATTCTTTTAAAATTTAATTGGAGACTATTTGCAGATTACATAAAGATGTTATGCTGTCTCAGTTCTTTAATTTTAAAGCGGAAATAAAGATGCACTTTTTATAACCTATCTGCTGATATTCGGGCTTCACTTTTCCAACATCGTAGAGGGCACTACATCTCCTCTTCGACAAAATAGAGCCGAATCCTTTCTGTTTATTGCGGGAGATACGGTTTTTCTTTCTCTTCTGTTACCATGCGGAACTTTTGGGCATGAGGAAGAGTATGGGAACTTGATCGTAAATGGGAGTTGCTTGAACTCGCTATCCTTACTGTAGTAATGGTGTCGGAATTTTTGTATGGTTGAAAATATTCACTCCCATTTTTGTCGAATGAACTCGACTTTAAGTTCCTTTTTGCATTTTCGGTATTTTTAATCATCACTAAGGCCTTAAAAATTACCGGAATAGGATTATAAATGCATAAAGAAACTTGTAAATCCTTATGCTTTTCCTACGGAATACTCTTTTATCGATTGCCGCTTATTAGTATGCTAAATCAAACCATATTTCTTCGAATCTATCAATTTTTGCATGCATTAATTCCTTGCATAATTCTCAAACACTACTTTTCTGTTCACTTTTTATTCACAAAGTTACCCCATACAATGAAACTTAAGAAAGCAATTGGTCGCTGTTCATCGTTTCTGTCTTGGATGGCCTTCTAACTTCAGGTATTTTTAGGTCATTGTTGCTAAAACATTTCAAGAAATGGTTACTGATGTGGAAAAGGATGTCTTGATTGAATTCTATGCTCCATGGTGTGGACACTGCAAGGCACTCGCACCTAAATATGATGAATTAGGCAAAAAATTATCTGGCGAATCAGGTGTTGTTATTGCAAAAATGGATGCAACGGCGAATGATGTACCACCACCATTCCAAGTGCAAGGGTGAGCTTCAACCACGCTTTTTCGCCAT